GTCCAGGTGCCTCTCGCAGCACATGCGGCTGTGACAGGTGTTTGGACGAGACGATTTCCAAATCCCGACACATGAAGACCTCCGAGCATGTATCAATGTGGAAGATGCCTTGCTCGTACACAGCATCCTCTGTACATACCTTTCAATGAGGTCCAGCGTCCTGTGAAAGGGCTGGAGCAAGGCGTTCTCTGAAACCGGTTTCATGCCTGAGCCCCCTACAAGAGGTAGCCGTGCCAGTGCACGGAGAAGTAGTCTTCGGGGCAGGTAGCCACGGGTTGGTCCGGCCAGATGATGTCCAGCTGGGGATCTACCTCAGTAACAGCTTCAAAGAGCAGGACTGCGCGCTCCAAAAAAGTTGCCCGAGCGAGGCGATCGAACGACAAAACGCCCTAACATGGAAATCTCCAAAATTGGAGTTGGCTTTCTTAGAGGCGCGAAGGAGCAGCGAGGGAGCCCGCGGACGACTCGAGTCCCGCACCCGCGTGTACTCGAACAAGGCCAGGCCCTGATGCGGGCGGTCCGTCAGAAGCGACACCAGGCTCTGAAAACCTCCGGAGCAGACATCTCGACCCGCCGAAGGTTGTTGAACAAACATGGGACTAGTTACTAGTTTAACCGGCTTCGGCCCCGGCCCGGGGTCCGGTAGTAGCGCCCGATGAGGCCGCCCCGAGCCCAGAGCCTCCGCAAGGAATCAGCGAGAAAAAAGACCGGAACGCCACTCCCTGCCACTCTGCGAAGGCCCCCTTTCTTGGAGCCATGGCTGTGTCACCACGGAGTAGGCGCCCACTTTGTCGATCTGGACAGAGTCTCTCGCGACATCCTCTTGTTTCGAGCACCTCCGTCCTGCCTCCAAGGGAAAGTCGTAGTTGTCATCCACCAAGCTGTAAGTGCCATCCACGGTGATCACCTGGGAAAAGGTGCCCAGCCCTTGCGGGACGAGAAGCAGAGCTTTGCCAGGTGCCCAGCGGGCGCGGAGGAGTCGTCCATGTTCACGAACTCCGCCTGCCGGAGCGGCGCGGCTCGGTCCTGGGCCTGCTATGGCCTGGCATGCCCGGGCCTGAATGAACAAGTTGTTGTCCACGACCTTGTTGCCAAAGGTGTCGCGAGGCACGCACTGAAACCTTGCCAGGGGCCCGGTGCTGGCACAAGCCGACATGACAGTTTGCAAAGGCCATGGGAGGCCCCGGCGGATGCTGAATCCCTGCGATGATTTCAGCGGGGATGGCACAGTCCGTGCCGTCGAATCTCGCGATGGAGCTGAGGACCTCAAGAAAAACCCAGGAGGAGGAGCCACGCGCTGAGCCCGGGTTTCGAAAGGCACCAAGGCAGGAGGAGTGAGGCCCGTGCGGGGATCTCCGGAGTCGGCGTGTTGGAGATCTGCACTCCAGCCCTGCAGCAACGGCATGGCAGGGGCAGCGCCAGCTCTTGCGGGGGAAACGCCACATAAGCTTCCGACAGCGTGATCTGCAGAGGATGCTCACCGGCCTCAGACAGAGCACAGAGTTTGTACAGAAGGGATCTGCCCGACTCCGCCAGCACCGGAAACACGGAGGCGGCCGCTAGATGCGTGCCCACTTTCACTGTCACAGTCCTCGGATCATTTCACGGTTGAATGTCTTCTCGTGATTCCGATGTGCCATATCATTTTTTGGACCGGCGGCCCGTCATTGTTGTCGGTGAAAGCTAGGATGCTTGGCCCAAACCGCCCCTGCCAAGCAAGCCAGTACGGTAAACCCCACAGTGCTTAGCGGACACAACCCGGCCGTGTGCCTGAAAGAGGAGCGTCGCAGAGCTGCTTGTGCGGTTGTTTCCAAAGCGGTCCCTGAGCTGCACCAGAGCGTCCACGGTCGCTCCAGCCAGGTAGCCTGCCGGAACTTGCCCCTACCTTCGCTTGTGCTGAGCTCCAAGTCCCCGGCTGGATTGCACGTTGTAGACGGCCGTGTTCGCCGGTGAGACCTGCCGCTCTCGCAAGTGCTCGAGAGTCGAGAGTCGAGGCTTTGCACCGAGCTCCGCGCTGCTGCTGGCTCGACGAACAAAGCGAAAGGGCCCTGGGTGACCGTGAGCTGCCTCAGCGCACCGCACACAGGGCTTGAGAAGGCCGAACTCCAAGAGAGCGCGTTCGCGTGTGCCGAGTCTCCGGCGACAGCGGCTGCACCATCTCGAGTTTGGAGATCTCCACGCCGTCGACTTGAACGGACCTTTAGCCGAGAGCTCTCTCGGCTCCACCCTCTTTTTTGGCTTTTCCCGGGCTCCGCGCAGAAGCCGCTCCCCGCTGACGGTGGGAGTAATCCGACACTCGTAGAGCCCGGTGCTGCCACCGGTGCTCGGCGAACAGACCTCGCGTGGTGCGCACGACGGGGGCCCGGAGGCCCGGAGGCCGGTGACTTTCTGAGCTCCCGACTCCCTCGTCCACCTGTGACAGGTTTCTTGGGGGGGAGAAAGAGAAGCATGAAGCGGAATGAAGCGGGGCGCGGCCCAGGCCTGGCTCACCGGCGGGGCCGAGCTGACGCGCACGACGATGATGGCCCCGGCCGGGCTGGAGGCCCTGAAGCCGACGAGGAGCAGAACAGAAGGAGAGGAGCGGAGGATCGGATTCTTTTAAGCGATAGGAACACGAGCTGGAGGAGCTGCATTTTTTGAGTGAGAATATATTATATGACACTCCAAAGACAATGCTTGCTGGGATGTCGGCAGGAGGTTGCCGTAAGCGTCCCGGAGCTGCACATGGAACACGATCTCGTCGCCAGCCACGCCCTTGCACAGTGCACGAGCTCAGGTTGTAGGGGAGCTGCTTGGATCTGCCGAAAGCCCTGCTCCCTTTGTTGCCCTAGCCCAAAAGACCATAATCGGCCATAAGCCAGCAAACTCCTACAGAAGCCCGCAGATCCCGCTGCAAAGAGCCCTGTTGGTCCAACTGGGGAGCCGCGCCGACGCCGGCGGCTGCCCGCTCTCGGCCAGGCTCTTGGGTCCTCTTTTTGGCCAGAGCCGCCCCTCCCCGAATCCCTGCTCTGCGAGGTTTTTTGGGGTTTAGCTTTTTTTGCCCTGCGGTCCGTAGGGCGCCGCTGCAGGGGAGCCCCTCAAGGTGAAGGGCGACAGGTAGACGTTGCCACCGTTGATCTGCAGCCGGCTGGGGAGTCTCTGAGGCCCAAAAAATACACTGAAGCAGTACGCTCTCCAAAAGCAAGCCTTGACAAAGAGCTTGTGAGTTCCTTCTCGGAGCGCCGTGTACTTGATGTCATACCTGTGATGCTGATCTGCTGGGAGGGGAAACTTGTGCTCCGGCCGGAATCTGCAGGGTCCCGAGTCGATGGCTGGCCAAATCCGATGTAGCTGGCTCTCCCGTAGAAGTACCTGGCAGACACCGAAATCTGCACCAAGCACCCCGGCCGCGCACACAGCCTCCCGAATTCGGCGTTGTTCAGCGGCGTGTCGTCCAGGACCGTCATGGTCTGAAATGGCGCTGACCGTTAAAACCGCAAGCATCCATAAGCAGATCTGACCAGAAGCAGAAGGACTGTCAAAAGTTGCAGGACAAGTCTTTTGAAGCCAGGCTGCCGTGGGGGAGTCGTAGTTCTCCCACTCGATGGAGGCGGTGACCTCACCGACCTCAGGGCCCGAGGAACGCCAAGTTGCGGCCACCCATCTGGCCCCGGCTCACGCCTCCTCGTCCAGGGCGTTGCCGTAGGCGTCCTTGGCCTGGACGACGAACTCGGACTCCGTGCCCGCGGTGAACTCGATGCTGCCCTGGCGTGGGCTGCAGGCTCCGCTTTCGCATGCGCTTCTGCTCGACTCGGGCGCCCGCCAGCCCCTGGACAGTGGACCACTCGGAGGCCACCCTGCCCGGTCCTTGAAGGAAGCACCGTCGAAACCGTCCCAACGATGGGGAAACTGAGGAGGCAGCGTGCAACGAATTCGAACGGGCTGTCCTGGCATCGCTACCATCACACCCCGCATGCCACATTCTCCTACGCCTTCTCGGCATGAGTCCTTGATGGGCATGCCGTTCAGAGCCACAGACAACCGGTAGTTGCCAGCCCTGTTCACCAGGTACCTGCGAAGAGCGAAGCGCACTTTCAGCCAGCAGGGCAGGCTATCCATTCTAATCCAGCAAGCACATGTCTATATGCAGTCTGCCGAGTAGAAGACTCTACTTTGTAGAGGCCATCCATGGCATCCGGGTTTACCTCAAAGGCGTCTTGCTACACCCACACAGTGACCACCAGGTATCACAGAATCGCGTACCAGCTCGGGGGCTGGCTGGTGCTGAAACCACCGTGAAGGTCACGGGCCCGTTGAAAGTGACCTCACGGAACGGCGGCAACGCTCAGCAAAGGTTGCGGTTGCAGAGAGCAGTTCGCCACGTCAGGGCCTGGAAAACCTCCTGGTTGCTCTTCAGCAAGTTGTCAGCCTCGCTCGGCATGCGAGATGCCAAGGAAGCGCATCGGTCGGATTTCATGCTGTGCAGACAGTATCCTCTCAGTCTCGAAGATGCCTATAGGCCGACATCAGAGTCCCTGCCACACAACTCTTGCCGAGGCACCGTGTCCTTTGCCTGGATGTAGAAGGCTCGGGACCTCGACACGGAAATCGAGACCGAGACCGAAATCGCATGCGGGCTTGCGGAATGCGGAGCAGACCCCGTGACCTCTTTCTTGGGGCCTCCCCACTGGGCCTCCGGCTCCAGGCAGCGGGCTCCTGAAAGGCCCCATGCTTGAATTGAAGCCTAAGCCCTCCCGATGACAGCTGCAGACGGGATTGCAACAACTGCATCTCAGATACGTAGTCACTATTCCCAAACCTCTTATGTTGGCCACATTTGAACATGGGCCAAGGCTCCAGCACTCACGAAAGAGAGAGACCGAGAGATAGATACAGATAGAGGCAGCGATAGGGACAGTGAGTTAGGTATGTATGTATGTATATATAAAAATATATATGGATGGATATGGATATGGATATGGATATGGATACGGATATGGATACGGATATGGATATGGATATGGATATACATATGTATATGCATATGTATATGCGCTTACCTACACAGTACGACTCTACAGGCAACATATATTTTAGTCGACAGAAAAACGTGGCGGGATTGCCTCGGCGGCTGCAACCTTTATAATATCACCCGCAACCATACAGACTTGCAAGCTACGCCCTAGACCCTAAAGCCTAAACCCCAACCCCACACCCTAAAGCCCCATGCCACCGAGGGCAAAAGATGAGTTCATTTCAATAAGGGAACACATTCTGCACATCAGAATCTCGCCCTAGCTTAAACTCGTTGAACCTACGTTACGCCCTCAAAGCCTAAGCTGCGACGATGACAACTTTGTTCGTTTAGGGGTCAAGGTTCCAAGGTTTTCAGTGCTTTGCTTTTCGTGAGGCTGCAAGTTACACTCTGGCTCTTTTGGGTGTGTAGGCTTGCGAAGCCAGGTCCCCGTAGAGCTCAGGGCCCGAGACGGGAAGAGCGACTGCTCTCTCTGCGCTAGGTGAGGCTTGCAGGGCGGAGTTTTGCTCATCTGAATCTGCTACCGGCGCTCTGGGTTGTTTGAGTTGAGGGCATCATAGGGTTGATGGTTTCGGTCTGTTAGTCAATCTAGGCCACATGGCCGACTCCTCAAAGTCATTTCGCCGGCCTGTCCGTCTCAAGCTTTGGCCACCTCCATGTTAATGCATCGGTCACTCGATGGTTGTGCCCACTAAGGATAATATTTCATGAGAGCGAAGGCGAATCCCACAATCCTTAAGCCCACTGATTCCTTCACTGCCGGGAACCCTAAACCCTATACCCTAAACCCTTTACGGCGAAGTCGACCCAATGACGCGCTGCTAGTAACAGTCGCTGGCATGCTGGCCCGAAGTGCAAACTCCCCAGAAATTACTGCAGCTGGCCCTTGCCAAGCCCTGGCAAACCCTACCCCCCCTTCTTTAAAGCAACCCAAAATTGGGTCAGTGCAGAAGAGAGACTTGCATGCCTCATGGGAAGCATGAAACTGTCCTTCTCCTTCGCCAAGACACTTGTCTGAAGATGGAGTTTGCGCTGGACTTCACTTTGTCCCGTTTCCAACGAGTGCAAGAAGTGGTCGTTGTGAGAGTAAGTGATGTTGCATGGTACGGTACAGAGGCTTTCAGAACGTTTCGGGGAATTCTACCCTCCGAGTCTGCTTCTTGTCGACAGCCAAGGAAAGCTGAGCCGAAGCGAGTTGTCGCAGCCCTGTCTACCAAGCCCAAGGAAGAAACTTGGAAGCACTCTGCCTGCCTACTCCGAAAGATCAAGACAGAAGCGCAAGCTACGAGTCGTGTAATGGCTTGTTGAAAGCATTGTGCACAACTCCATCTACTGTGCCTGTGCTCCCGATCTTAGTATCCATGACGAATAAGTTTTCTTTCAGCTGTCTGGTCTACGGTCTACACCCTAGTGACACGCCCGCTCCAAGCCGTGATGGAGACCTCGTACCTGGTCACCGTAAGCCGTTCATGTACTAAATCCCCAACTCCTAAGTACACGACGACGATCAATGTTGAATGTTTAATGGACAGTGTAGAACCTGCAAAAAGAGGCTTTTGAGCTTTCTGTGTAAACGCCGTTGTTACTGATGTAACGGGCCCAACCCACTGGTCCCGGAAAATACTAAATCAGGGCTTAGGGTTCCGGAAAGGGAATTGAAGCCCAGGCAATCGCAGGCATTTAAGCTTGAACCCCACACTATAAACCCTATAAACCCTATAAACCTTATAAACCCTAAACCCCTAAACCCTAAATTGAAGCCCAAAAGCTCCAACAACAATCTCTGAATCCCAGGCCCTACTGTTCTTGAAGCCTGCAACCCTAAGCAACAAGCTCTGAGCCCTAACGCTAAACCCCGAACCTAACGTCATGATACCGAAGGATGAGGGCAGGGAAATCATC